ATAGTCCGGTCAAAATAGACATTTCAAATAACGAAAATTCCGACAGAGCTAAATTTTGGTGGAGACCTTGGGTACACCATTAGAAATAAAGTGTCAAAAGTCCCCATCGATCCCATGTGTGCTAAAAAAGTTATTCGGGGTCAAAGGTCAAAATTTGAGGTTTTTTGGATTTTTTTCGAAAACGGTAAGTTTTATTAAAAAAGTAGCTCTGACAAAAATTATAGATCTTAAAATTATCTACAAAAATGGTCCTTATACTTTTTTTTTAAGAATCACCATTCCTGAGATATCGCGATTCTAATAGTTGAAGGAGTCACGTTCTATATGATATGCACACATTTCCATACCACCTGTGAGGTAGTGTACTTTGACGCGTTTTTTTTTAACGTGTTTTCCCCGGTAGGCCTACTCCACGAACCGTTATGACAGAATTTTCAGGGACGATACTCTTTTAACTGTATGATGATTCATGATATTGATTATTAACTTTAACTGTAGTTCTGATTTCTTTTGATATTTTAATCTGATTCATACTCTTCAAAGTCGATTTTAACAGTCATGTCTTCTTCAATTTCTTCTTCTTCTTCCTCTTCTTGGTGGATGTTCATAAATTGTTCAAATGAAGATGAATCAGCTGCCTCTTCATAGAAATCACATGAATCTTCGTCTGTTGTATTCAATTGGGCATTTGAGCAAGACTGGCTTTGGCAATTAGTACACGCTGGAGAACACAGTAACCCTACTCTTCCACAGCCACATTTAACGCTACAACCTTTTTTGCAATTGCAAAAAATAGTATTTAGGAGTTTTTCCAGAGCAGGTGGAAGCAAAGTTTGAATCGGTTCCAAAGTATTATCTGTTAATTTCCAACCCCAGTCTTCTGGGTTCAGTTGATTACCTAGCCATGTCTGAACTTGATAGTATACTCGATACAAGTGTTGATTAGCAGAAGCCGATGTTGGAGGAAGACAAGACAGTTGTACTTGTTTCTTGTTTCGTGTATTTTTTACAGAAGTTCAATATCTATATTTATCTATACAATCAATTTTTTTTGGAGCTCTTTAACAGCAAGGAGAAAGCGAATTCCTTTTGTGATTATTGTTTGAGGTGAAGAAACAATTTCTGCAATCAATCGAATCTTTTTTTCCAAATAATTTTAATACTGATGTTTTACTTTTACCCCTTCTGAAGATTGCTGATGTAGTATCGCAGCCGGTTATCGCATGTAAAAATAAGATATGGTTTTGGCATTTTGGATAAGCAGATAAACTTTTTGAAGAATATATTTCTGTTCGCTGTTGAGCCTTTCCAGGTTTTAAAAAGTATATAATTTTATCAATTGGAGTCCTTACAGTGAGTAGTATTAATAAGTCAACATCTTCACCAACTACAATAGTTGTATTTGTTGCATTAAATTGTTCTATTGCTGTTTCAATTACATCTGCGTTATTTTGACTAAGGGAATGAGTTTCTTTTGAGTGTATATTCTCAGAATAGTATAGTTTATACATACAAAAGACACAAATAGGCATTTTTACTTGTATTAAGTGCTTGACGATGTATATACGTGGCATATACATATGTGCATATCATGTAGAACGAGACTCCTTCAACTTTTAGAATCGCGATATCTCAGGAATGGTGGTTCTTAGAAAAAAAGTATAAGGACCATTTTTGTAGATAATTTTCAGGTCTATAATTTTTGTCTGAGCTACTTTTTTGATAAAACCTCAAATTTTGACCTTTGACCCCGAAAGTATTCGGAGGTTTGACCCTATTTTTCTCTTCGTTCCCTGGACTATGTTTATTGTAGCCACAACGTAGTGAATTACTGGCAATGTTGCAGCAATTTTATTTCGCTTGGTAGAGTAAAAGTTACAAAAAGCCACGTACCTTGCTCTCCCGCATAAGTTTCAGTGTTGGGGGATATCCTAATGATCTTTATATAGTCAGTCTCCACAATCGGAGTTGGAAGTCGAACCACAGCAATATCGTGGATGAGCTCACTCTCATCCCAACCGGAATGGATGACAAACTGACTACTGGTCTGCCTGACCTGCGTTTCTTCGACCTCCTCGATGTTGTGAGCCCCGAAAATGAGTTCGATGCTTACAGTCCTGAAAAATCAACTTGGATCATTGTGGACGGTCCCAAAAAAGTCTACTTACTTTTCCGCGCAGTGAGCTGCGGTCAGTACAAAATTTTGAGACACCAAAGACCCGCCGCAGAAGTTGGTGACGTCAACTCGGTGGCAGTACAGGCCTACTTGGTAGGGGTAGGCGTGGGGGGTAGCCTCTTGGCCTCCTATGATCCTCCCGTTTATGAAGCCGTTGGTTCTTTCGTTGGGGTACATGAAAGGTCTCTTGGAGGTGAAGTTTTGCACCTAAGTTAATAGATTTTCAACGGGATGAGCGTTATTTTTAGAACTACGGGGATTTTCATTAAGGAAATTTTGAAAGGTGTTTTATGAGTATTGATAAAACTTGAAATCATGCGGAATCGTCGTATTTTGTAATGTTTTATACAAAATGGGGATAAAAAGTGTTTGTGCAAATGTAAGGGATAGTGGCATCAAAGGAACCGATCTCTAGGTCAAATTTAAATGCTTTTAATGTACACGCCCTTATCTAATTTCTGTTGTAACTGCAGATATCTGTTTTTATTTCTTCGATATGTATATTTCTAACTTTATGAGGCATCTCTTAATAATATACGAGTTTTCCTGGTTTTGTTAAAAAAAAATGAAGCCAAGATTCCCTCTTCCTTTTGACGTTACGGAGCTATAGAACAGTTATACAGGGTGTCCCAACAGGAATCGCCACAATCGATATCTCGGAAAGTACTAATCCGATAAATCTGAAAATTTGGCAACCTAGCAAGGGCAGTAGGACCAACACAGTTAAAATATTTAGAACTTTATAGAACTTGCGGTTATACCGGAAGTCAACAGTAACTTTCTTATTTTAAATGGAACACCCTATAAAATTAATTGTTTGAAAAAGTGGTGTCAGAATTATATATTGTAGTTCATATTCTAAGAGTGTTTAAGTCAAAATGGATTCGGAAAGTGAAGACGAACATTTACCAGGGGAAGTATTGGAAGCGGCACAAAGTGCTGTTGCAAAAAAACCGTCGAGACAATACGAGACAACCAATCGGCAAGAATACCCTTTCTAAGATTCATAATAATATTGCACAGTTTTTGAAACTAGAACATCCTGAAACATATACAGACCATTCATTCCGAAGAGCATCGGCAACGTTACTGGCTAATTTGATCAGTATCAAATCAATTTCTCGAATAATTCATCTCTACTAAAATGCTGTCTTAAAAAAATACAGGTTGATAAAATCGTTTATAATACATTTTATTTGTAGCCACTTGATTTTACGAATTCGATTTTTACCTTCTGAATTTTTAAAACACTTTAACATTTTTATAATTCCATCCCAAAAATGATTGTAAGTAATTAACGATAGAACAGGAATCAATTATACTGGCTGCAATTCAACATAAACGATTTTATCAACCTATTTTTTTTTAGTGAAGAGGTATTATTCGACTAATTGTTTTTGTAAATCCATATTATTTTTTACCGACACATAAGTATATATTGATAAAATCTAGCTTATTTTGTACTATTTGGAGAGACATAGTATTTGTACAAGTATAAGGGATTATCTCAAAGGAACCGACTGCGAATGTAAGTACCTACTTTTAATTTGCAGGCCCTTATCTATTTTCTGTTGCAACTACAAATATCTACTTTTAGTTTTACATAAAAAAAAATTATACTTATATGGCCAATTATATTTAAGAGCGTGCGAGATAAACTACATTTCCTTAACTCTCCTCAAATTAGAATTTCGAATAATGACCACTCACTTATCAGTATTCTGAAATTAAAAGATGATGACTAAAAAAATTGTTTTATTTTTGTTAATTTCAACGCCCTGTATCTCATAAACGGTGGCTTTCTGCACCTATGTTCATAGAGCAATGTGATGTTAATTTTTGTCGTTTAGTGCTTTCCCAAAGTTTGTCTATTAAAGTTTGGACCATTTAAAAATACAAGTTGACTCTTTGAATTAATGTTTAGACTAAAACTGTACAGTTTGTTTGTCTGAATATCTAATTATTTCTCGAAAACATCTTCCGATTTAAAAATTAGTTCACAGTTCACGCAATACAAGCTCTGGCGATTGCTGTAACACTAATTTTTGAAACATATGTCGGAATCTAGACAATTAATCGATTTAGAGGAGATACAGATGTAAGCGTAAGCGTTTTTAACCCAAATCGACACATTCTAGAGACAGGAGAGGTAACATTTTTCTACAAAACATGTAAAACATACCGTTGGGAGGGCAAGGCCAATGTCTACGATAGTTAAAGCGACCAAAAACACAATCAAACTCATTTTCTGTAGGTATTATGATGAAGACTACTCTCAAGGATTCGTATTTAGAATTTCGTTATCGCATTCTTGACAAAAAATTCTTGGTAATCTTGTGTTTCCGTACTTGAGTTAATTTATCTTATCGCGTTAAATCAACGTGGAAAGACGTTGCGTGCAATTGTATCGATCTTACATCACCAACCAGACACATATAAATAGTCCAATGAAATTGTCGAAAATATCTCTTTTTTTTTGCCAAAAAATAGTTTAGTAATTGAAAATATGTAAAAATTAGGAAAAATTCCATAGAATTCAAGGAACTACTTTAGCCTACCTGAATTTTTGGGTTTCATTTTCAAAATGGCGTCCAAAATTTGCAAAAAACAGTTTTTTTATTTATAAAAAAAACTAAACATTTTAGAAAAAAAATTTCAAACAAAAGTTGTAGGAATTTTTAATACGGATCGAATAAGCGGTTTTGATCGATAAATAAATTAATTAGTTATTGCAAAAAAAACGCTAAAAATCGCAATTTTTTCAAATAGCTGTTATCTTTTTCAAAAATAAATATTTTTTTATGAAACTTGGTGAAAGGATAGCTGTTGGTGAGCAAAATAAAATTATTTTTTCAAAATTGATATATATAGTTTTTACAAAAATCGAGTTTTTCGAAAAAAAAGCGTTTTTGTAAAATCCCCATAATTCATAGGCCGCCACATCTTTAAGAACGGTGTTGGGCTTAAAATTTTCTTTAATACTTAGACTATTATGTGCAAATATTGCGCGAGCCTTAAATCGATTTCAAATATCGCAAAAAACGGTCGAAAAATCGATTTTTTTTCGAGGCCATAAAACTTTGATTAACTTTTTGATTTATTCGTATCAAAATGTCGATACTGCCATTCGAAAGTTGACATTTTTCACGAATTTAAAAAAAGTCTGTCCTACGACCAACAGGGGCCGAGAAATTATTTTTTTTTCGAAAAATCAGCACGACCTCATTTATTAATATTGAGGGCTGAAATTTACACATGTAATAATAATACACTTGTACTTCAATGTAAAAAATGGTCCGCAACGATTTGTCCCATTTTCTTTCATTAAACTTCATTTTTATGGGCCCTGCATATTGCTTTTTCTACTTCCCGCCTTTTTATTTCGTCAACTAACCGACATTACCTTTATTATTTTATTATCTTTTTCGAGGGAATAACACCGTTTCAGCGAATAAAATTTAAAGCAAAAATAAATGTAGCGAACAACTTACAAAAGACGAAATACACGAAAATTTAACCAAGGGGGTAATAACAAAATTACATAATAATTCAAGCTAAAAAATTAAATTAACAAATTAATTTTTAATTATGTGGAGAAATCCAGGGGGGTAAAATCAGGTGCTCTCGCTGCCCTTAGAATAGGGCCCTCTTTGCCAATCCATCTGTTAGGGTAGTTGACATTTAACCAGTTTCCAACACCCTACCAGAATGAGCAGGAGCCCCATCTAATTGCACCATACTCCTCCTTAAGGAAATTGAAGAAAGCCTAATGAGTTGACTTTTACTTGGAAATGAATGATTCTCTTGAAGTAATCTTGGTAATAATCAGATAATACTATTGATACGAAAGAAGCTAAGTACTTTATTTTTTATTTAAATTAAAAATTGCCGTAAAACAGAGACAGATATCGAAAAATGAGACATTTTTTGTTCCCATTAGCATACTTTTTCATAAAATATAATCAATTGTTATTTTGCACAGGACCGCACTATATTTGTTTATAAAATAGTCGAATGAGTTTCCCATATCTTCGCCAATGGTTGTGCAAAAGTCTTGATATTACAGTATTTTATGGAAACCTTACCCAATATAACGTACACCAAATTTAGTTCAAATACCTCTATTATTTCAGAAGATATTTACAGTAAACTCTTTTTTTTTAAATTATTAACACCCTGTATTTAAAAAACGGTTGAGGTTTCGAAGTAAGTTTATATGATTTTTTTTCGTTGTACTATCTGCTCCCGAAGTCTCATAGATTAAAACTAAGAAACCCTGTACATATAGCAATTTGTTGAAGCGAATTTTTTTTTCAAAAAAAGTCCAAAGAAAGTTTCATTCTAATGTTGATATATCTTTTTTATAAATTACCAAAGGCTTAACAGTATCAAATTTGTGGCAATCTTTTAATGCAACCACAGTGTAACATGGCGTTTCTTAGATAATATCACATTTCAAAGCTGCTTATAGTTACAGTCTTTGAGTTCGCGGTTAATGTACGCATCGCATAGTACGCGTCTGATGTCAGCGTGAGGTATATTGCAAAGGCTGTAAGGATAAGGACAAGGCAGATATTAATTTAAAGTAAATAAAAAACAAATTCCCTGCAACAAAACAAAGTAAGACTAAAGTTAAAATAACTTTAAAATAAAAATAAAATAACTTTAAAATAATTTTAAAATTTAAATTTAACGTAATTTAGTAGATACTTATTATATTATCAAATACCTACATAGGTAGCTAATAATGAATATATCTCGCAATATTGTTCTATCTCTTGAAACACTTTTTCAAGGCGTAATGACGTAAACTATTGCTCTAAACAAATTAAATTCACTAGTCAAAGAATTTATGAATTGAGAAACGAAGAAGAATTTTAAAATATTTTTAATTATGTGAAAAATATTACTGGACTGGAAATTAAGTACCTACTCGTTTTGGGAATTTACAATCATGATTTAAATTGTTTTGCTTTAATAGATTCCTCAAAATTTCCCGAAAATGCAAACAAATTTCCCGAAAAATCGCTTGAATGTTTAGTAAATGTATCCAAATGTTTTTGAAATAGATAGGTTGAAAACGAACTAAATGACCAATCGATCTGTTTTTTTTTTAAAAGACGCGTCTTTCCAATAACTTTTAAAACTGTTTTAAAAAATTTGATTTGACTTGAATATTCACAAGTTATTCTAATTGTTTATAAGTGCAAAAAATCGATCAATGTTTAAACAAGCGCCAGAGCTCTTCTAATCGACAGATTCGAATTTTTCAAAAAGCGTTTGAAAGCTTGAGAGTCCTTCTATATGTAGTTAAATTTTCAAATATCTAAGGGCCTTGGTTTTTGCTGTGCAAAATTTAGAAAATTTGCAAATTTTTTTTCAAAATCTGGATTGCAAAATAATTATGCAAAATCTATAGAACCGATTTTGATGAAATTTGGTGTGGTGATTCTACATAACATGAAGTTTTCTTGAGCCAAGTATGAAGGTCCTATACCCAATTTAAAGACCCCAAAAAAAAATCCCTAAAAAGTATTGATTTTTAACCTCAATTTTGGCGATTTTTTCGATTTTTACAATAATAATCATGATTCATTCGATGTGTAACTAGTCAAATTTATTTACAAACATTTTTTCCTCTTCCAATTTCGCCTAAAATCAACTCTTGAAAAGATACATAATGAAATAGGAAGAAAAATATGACATTTTTCGAATTTTTTTAACATATTGTGCCGCCAAAAGTTAAGCCCACGTTTTTTTGTATGCGCATAGAAAAATTTTCATTTCTAGTGCCAGAAATCTCCGTTTAATCAAGTCTGAGGGTTGGAAAAATAACACAAAACAGAAATCTGCGTAAAAAATTTATTGTCACAGTAAAAATCAGACGTCAACGTCAGAATTTTCCCTGATCCAGTCCGAGTACTCCGTCAACCTTGTGAAAACGTCGGGTTTCCCAACCCCACAGTCTTTATAACCAAAAGAACTGATCCCTACTTGTACGCCGTCAACGACGAGGGGTCCCCCAAAGTCCCCGTTGCAAGCCCCCACCCTGTCACTATATAAAAGGCCGGAAACGCAGAGATGGGTGGGTTGGATGACGGTGCCGTAGGGGTCGATGCTCTTGCAGTTGTCGTTGCTCAAGATGTCGCTCACCACGTACCTCAGTTGAGGCGTGACGCCTGATTGGTCGTTCGTCGTCTTCCCCCACCCAATTGTGAGCCCTAAAATGACGATTTTATTTAATGTGTTGCACGAGGAGGTGCACAAGCTTTAAAAGGTCTTACACCCTGCAGTACGTTTACTAAAATGAATTACTGTAATATACAGGGTGAGTCAGTTTTTTGTAGACAAACTGTAACAGGAGTTGGAACACATGTTTTTAAAAAGAAAAGTTCCTATAAACATATGTCGTAGTAGGCTTCGTTTCCGAGGTACAGGGTGTTGAATTTTTTTTTTCTCTCGAATATTCATTATAACTTATAAACGAATGCTTAGATTTTTTTTCGTATTTGGGGGATAATGCCTATGCCTATTAATTAAGGGGCATAAAACAAGCGATAAGAATGATCAAAAACTTGCACAGTGGCGGAGTGGAGGGGGTGCTCCACCCCTTTTTTAAACAGAACTTCTACGCCAATCACTTTTTTAAAAAAACTGTTATTTTCATTATCTACATATAGTTTAACAAAAATAATGTCCATTCTTCTGTTTCGAAATTCCTGTGCGTTTCCGAGTTATTTTAATTTTTAGTGTTTGATGTGGGCTAAATTAATTTATTTATTATCAATTATCGGCTAAATATTTNAAAAAAACTGTTATTTTCATTATCTACATATAGTTTAACAAAAATAATGTCCATTCTTCTGTTTCGAAATTCCTGTGCGTTTCCGAGTTATTTTAATTTTTAGTGTTTGATGTGGGCTAAATTAATTTATTTATTATCAATTATCGGCTAAATATTTCATTCTTTCAACGAAACCTACCTAAATATGGTTTGTTAAGGATTCTAAAAAGACGAAATTTCTTATACTTTATCTCTTTCCAATGTAGTCAAAATAAATACTTGTTATATCAAGCCATACTCAAATACAAGACTTTTATAAGTTGAAATCTGTTTAGTACACTAATTTTAACAATCCTTATATATTTATTATGTGCTGCGTAAATACTAATGTACTGCAACTAAATTACAAAAAAAAAAACATTGAATGAACATTGATGTTAATGTTTATGGAGAAATTTTTTGAATTTATAACAATATTTAATTAAAAAACTTCTTAAAACTTTTTGGCAACTGCACAATAATGTATTGTATGTATGTAATGTTACAGATTTCAACTTATAAAAGTCTTATATTTGAGTATAGTTCGATATAACAAATATTTATTTTGACTACATTGGAAAGAGATAAAGAATAAGAGATTTCGACTTTTTAGAATCCTTAACAAACCATATTTAGATAGGTTTCGTTGAAAGAATTAAATATTTAGCCGATAATTGATAATAAATAAATTACTTAATTTAGTTGCACAACAAACACTAAAAATCAAAATAACTCGGAAATGCACAGGCATTTCGAGACAGAAAAATGGACATTATTTTTGTTAAACTGCATGAAGATAATGAAAATAACAGTTTTTTTTTTAAATAGTCATTGGCGTAGAAGTTCTGTTTAAGAAAGGGGTTGAACACCCCCTCCACTCCGCCACTGTGCAAGTTTTTGAACATTCTTATCGCTTGTTATGCTTAATTAATAGGCATTATCTCCCGAACATGAAAAAAAACTAAACATTCGTTTATAAGTTATAATGAAAATTCGAGAAAAAAAATATATTCAACACCCTGTATCTCGGAAACGAAGCCTTCTACGACATATGTTTACAGGAACTTTTCTTTTTAAAATCATGTGTTCTATGTCCTGTTAAAGTTTGTCTACAAAAAACTGACTCACCCTGTATATCTTATTGCATTTTTGAATGTGAAAAATCTTAAACTTGTATTAAATAAGATCCCGTTAAGTTTGTGGCAGAAGCCGAAGCTACCCTAACAGGACGCAATATTTTTAAAATGGTTTTAAATCATTGCAATATAATATTAAAATACAGCAAAATATTTAATTCAAACTTATTTAATGAGAAAATCTTTGAAGGAAATCGTAAAAAATGAAAGGGAACCCCCTTAAAATTACAAAATAATCCTAATGTGTCAAAATAAATAAAACTGGTCGATTGTAAAAAACTTTAGATTAGATTATTATTGTTGATTTTTTCCAGAAAGAGTTTATTCTTGATAAAAAGTTTTGCTTATCTTTGAAAGCCATGGACAGTAATTAAATATCTAATAAAACATACTGGGCGTCCAAAAAATTCTTTAATTTTCGTTCTCATTATAAATTGTATTTAACAGTTATTCGAGAACTCAAAAAATGCTTAAATACGAGGTTTAGTCTAAAAAGAACAATCACATTCTGCAAATAAAAAAACGCCGCAATAGTAAGTATTATTTACCAGTCGAAGACGATTTTGCGCCCGAGCGGAGCGAGGGCTGGCAATAGAGTCCGAGACTGGTAAATTATACTTAACTGCTGCGTGGTGTATAACATTTTATCTGCTTCCACAGTTCTTTATGGTTCATGAAATGTATAACTGTACAATTACTATAAATATTCATTCATAATAATTAATAAAATGTAATGTTCATCAAATATTTCTTTTCATAAAATATCCCAAAACTTTTTATCAAGAAAAACTTTTTCTCGTAAAATAAACAATAAAAAAAGTTTACAAGAGTGCGGCACCCCGTCCGGGCACACACTGTATATTGTTTTACCACTTACCTTCCTTTCCCGCAAAAGTATCGGCGCCTTTCGCAATTTTTATAACTTTTATATACGAAGTTTCAAGAACGGGTGCTTTAAGTTTCACCAGAGCGATGTCGTTGACGAGCTTCTGCTTATCCCAACCAGGGTGGATGACGAACTCGTCACTGGTCGACCTGACTTGGGTATCTTCGACCTCCCCGATGTCGTGAGCTCCAAGGACCACATCCACGGTCACCACCCTGGAAAAAAATCGTCTAATTCGTCCCTAATCTTTCGTTTTCCTATAGGAACAATTATTACCCGTTCACGCAGTGTGCCGCGGTTAAAACAAAGTTGGCCGACACCAAGGAACCCCCGCAGAAATTGGTCAGTCCGATGCTGTGACAGTACAGGCCTACTTGGTAGGGGTAGGCGTGGGGTAGGGCCTCCTGGCCACCTATGATCCTCGCGCTTGGTAAGCTATCGGTTTTTGCAACCCAATAGGAGAAAGGCTCCCCGGGAAGTGGATTTTGTCCCTAAAATTTTTTTAAATTGATAAAAACACAATGGAAGTGATGCATCATAGTACAGTCATCGAAGCTGAAAATCAGCTGTAACCTCCGAATTCTTTGAAACTGCATGGATTTGCATGAAAATTTAGAATATGTGTATAAGTGACATAAGCCCGATTGACCTTTTTTGTTTTTTAGAGGTAAAAACTATCCCTAAGTGAAAGAAATTGAAAAAATTAAGTTTTAAGCATTTTATTGATAAAAATCTTGTTCAAGCACAAATATTAAATAATGTTCCATGTTCTCGAACATGTTTTATGATATATTTGATCTATTGGACCCTTTATTTAACCCTTAAAACTACCCCTATGCAAAAAATAATGATAAAAAATTACTTTTTAAAGATTTGGAATGATTAAATCCTGAAATTATTTAAAATAAAAGTTACCTTATAACTAATAAAAGAATTTTTCCCTTTCAACACCTAAAAATCACCCCTGTATTGACAAAAATTATAAAAACTTGCTTTTTAAAAGCTTGGAATACTTTAACGGTGCAATTATTTAAAATAAAAATTCCCTCATTGCTTATGAAAGAATTTGTATCTCGTTTTTTAGAAAAAGTTGCATTAAAAAGTAATTAGAGTATCTAATAAAGGATAATATTGAAATATACAGGGCGATTCATAAATAGTAACCAAAAATGAAACCTCGTATTCTTTGGTGAATTTTAAAGGAGTCTTTCTACCTATAGGAGTCCATACCTAAAGTTTTTATCTAGGACGCTTTGTTAGAAAAATACAGGGCGTTAAGCTTCGAAAATATTTCACTGCGGATTATTTCTGCCATTATACTTTAACCATTTGTAGTAACCCGTTTCAAAAATTTAAAATTCCGCGCGATTTACTTATTCGAAGAAGAAGAAGAGGAGGAAATCTGGAGCACATTCTTCTGGAGTAAGTTCACAGAAGATAAAACAATTCTTCTGTGGTAAGGTGTTCAGTTCGGTGTTCTTAGTTCTTACTTCTTATCTTAGGCTTATGCAGGGAGACTAGACAAGGAGCACGAACTCGTACCGGAAAATTGACAAAATTTGTCCAAGAAATGGCAGAAGTTGGAGTGGCGCTAGTGTTTCATGTGTCCCAAGTGAATGTAGCATAATAAATACGAGTGAAGTAAGCAAATAACCAATTTTATTTTATAATTAGTTTAGTAGATACATCGGGGAGGTACACTAACTTAAAAACTAGAAGTCAAGTCAATAATTATTACAACTTGTTTTTATAATGGTTAATAAAAAGTTTCGGAAATAAATTAACGATACATATGGGACACGAACGCCCTCTTATTTTTGTAAGATTTTTGTTTACATGGAGTTCGGGGAGTTCGGGCTCCTTGTGTAGTCTCCATAGGCTTATGGTTACGCAAAAAAAAGAAAGAGGTTATGTATTATGTTGTGTGCGAAAAAGAAGCGTTGCTGTCTAAGATTTATGCCTTTATGGAAAAATAAAGTTTTAAAGAAAATTATAGTGTGCCTTCCTGAAACAGCCACTAAGATAGAGCTCCTTACACAATAAAATTTATATTTGGTTTTGGTTTTTGGCTTACATTAATAAAAGCAGGTATTTGAAAAATATTGTCCGTTTTTCTCGGAAGTGTTTCATTTGTTTAACTTAGGAGTATTTAAAGAGTAGAATAGTGTAATAACACTTCACGAGCCGTTCTAAAAAAATTAAAAAGCAGCTACAGTAAGGTCACTCCTGATTCAGTGTACAATTCGTCAAAACTTTTCCCCGATCAATTAAAGATTGGACCCATATGAGCACATTATGAAATTTGTTTTAAAAAAAAACTATATGACAAATAAAATAAAGTAAATACTGATAAAATCGGTACTGATAAACCGTAGACTGATGTATTGCATAACTCCAGAACCGAGAATACGGTGTTTGCTTTGACAATTTAGCAAACAAACCGAGATAATTATTTGTACCTGCACGTTTAAAAAAATTGAACGCTGTAATAAAAACAAAAGTTTTACGATAAACACACAGAACGTTATTCGATTCCGATATTTTATTTATAATAAAACGAAATAAAGGTAAAATCGCACTTACCTTTGGAAGGGCCAAACTAGCTTCCAAAACGGTTAAAACGGCTAAGATCGCGCACAAACTCATCTTCGCACTGTTATGAATCACTGCCAGATTAACTCTTTTATTTACAAACTTATCTCGTTCAATCTGTTTGCAAATGAGTTCCGGCACTCGAGTTAACAATCTCGCAAAAATAATTCACAGAATTACCTTTCCGAGATCTCTAGCCACTTATTATGTTTCGGGAACGATTAAATGAAACTCAGACGTAGAAAAAAACACAAGATTTAATCGGAAAAAGTCGCTCAACACTTACCGACTACATAACATCAACAAAACACTTGTACAGACATTCAAAGGCAGAAAAATATACGACGAACATCCAGTGACACAATATAGGCGATTTGAAAAGACACGGACGATATAAAAATATGGGGTTGGCCTGTATAATCGTAACCATACAAAATATATATCTTGAAACTTCATAAATCACTATAAAAACCGCGACGGAAATAAAAAAACCGTCTATAAAAAAAGGGAAATACAAATAGACACAGAAAAAATATCACCATATCGAAGACCACCCCTGTCGCGAGATTCTAGTCTTTAAAAAGCCTTCGGAGAGATCAGGCCTTCCAGCATGTCGAAAGCATTCCCGTCGGGTTGGACGGAAACTATTGCACCCTCGTCCGACCTTACCTTCAAGAACCCGAACTCGTCTATCCCCACGACCCTCGCCTTCTTCCTCTCGCCCTCCTTGGCGGTGATCGTAACCACGGAATTGCTGAAAAAACAAATAAATTGAAGTTTGGAGCCTCGACGCCACCGAACGTCCTTACTTGTGCAGCCAGTACTTGTAGTAGAGATCGAAAAAGGCGTCGGGATCCCCTTTTTGATAACTGTTCAGCAGCTTCTCCGTCTCGTTGAAGACGGCAGCGAAATACGCCTCGTAGTGAATCGTATTAGCGCTTTCAGGACTCGCTTCTCTGATGAGATCGTTGACGCACGTCGTAGGGTTAGAATTGTCCAGATTTATTCCACAACCTGCAAGTCTCATTATAATACCACTTAAAATCGTTCGTAATAGACTCACCGATATTTATAACCGCCACGTCCTCGTTAACAAACGAAGTCGCCAACAGTCCTCCGATTTTAACGTTTCCGTTGGCGTACAAATCGTTGGGCCACTTGATCCCGATTTTAAGATCCTAAAAACAGACTTGCTCAAATTATTATTCCCACAACCGCCTGACTTACCTCACCTGACACCCGTTGAATTTTTTGAGGGCGTGAACCACTCCGACCATCACGATCTGTTGGGTCAACGGCAGGTATTTATACAAAGGCGATGCCGTGGGGATATGTAACTGTAGGGAGAAGTTTGCGCTGCCGATCGGGCTGATCCAAACGTTGTTCGACCTTCCTGGTGGATACGGAAAAGTTGAATACGGGATATTTTCAAGGTAAGCGCTTACCGATGCCCTGTGTTTGCTGCCTTGGTATGACCACCAGTCCGTGCGTTAAGGTCTTCGAGAGTACCGTTTGGGAGCTGCCAAGCACGTCGCAGTAAAGCACGAGTCTTCCGATTTGCTCGGTTTCTAACGCCTACAACAAACCTCGACATCAAAGACGTTACACGACGTGTATATCGATTGCATACCTCGAAATAATTGACGGTAGAGAAATTCGAGGGACAGGAATGTATAAACACCGGTAGAAACGAGCTACTGGGGGCATCGGCCTTCTCGTCCTTACCGCAGAACTTTACGGTCAACTTATCACTAACCAGAGTATTTTCCTTGATGTGTTCGCAGTCGGATAACAGACCGAGCTTCAGCTAGAAACAAAAATAGTGTAATACTTTACAAACACGACCTCTGGTCTTTATAATTGTCTTATAATGGTGGAGGTAGGAGTCTATCATCTATCGGTATTGGTACGGTGGCTATTTTCATTGCAAAGCTCCGTCTTTACTAGAAAACAATAGTCCGAGTTTTCAGAATCATCCTTTCAAGGTAAAATGGTAAAATTAATATTCTACGTTTATTTTGAATGTTGTTCGAAGGAAATTACCAGAAAATATAAAATTGTTAAAAAATTCAGATTAACTCAAGATCATCAAATATGGCTGACCATCATAGTACAATACCTTACAAACGCACTGTCTAATGTATGTCATTGTCTTATACTGGTTGAGAGTCTACTGGTATTGGTACGGTGGCTATTTTCATTGCAAAGCCCCGTCTTTATTAGAAAACAATAATCTGAGTTTTCAAAATAGTCCGTTCAAGGTAAAGACTGTAAAATTAATATTCTACGTTTATTGTGAATGTCGTTCGAAGGAAATTACCAGAAAATATAAAATTGTTAAAAAATTCAGATTAACTCAAGATCATCAAAGGTGGCTGACCATCATAGTACAATATCTTGTAAACATACTCTCTAATGTGTATAATTGTCTTATACTGGTTTGGGTGTCTATTGGTATTGGTATGGTGGCTATTTTTGCTGCAAAACCCCGTCTTTATTAGAAAACAATAATCCGAGTTTTCAGAATCTTCTGTTCAAGGTAAAAACTGTAAAATTAATATTCTACGTTTATTTTGAATATCGTTTGAAGGAAATTACCAGAAAATATAAAATTGCTAAAAAATGCAGATTAACTCAAGATCATCAAAGATATCTGATCATCATAGTACAATATCTTGTAAACACACTCTCTAATTGTCTTATACTAGTTGGGAGAGGAGTCTATTGGTATTGGTACGGTGGCTATTTTCATTGCAAAACTCTGCCTTAATTAGAAAACAAACTGCATTTCCAGAATCTTTTACTCAAAAAATAGAAAAAAATTGAAAAAATTATTATTCTAGATTTGGAATGTCGTTCGAAAGAAATTACTAGAACTTATAAAATTACTAGAGAAGTATAGATCAATGATGGCTGACCACCATATATTGCAAAAACAACTAATATGTGCCTATATGGGAATGTAATTGTCTTACAGTTGTTGGTCGAGGAGACTATCATCTATCGGTATTGGTACGGTGACTATTTTCATTGCAAAACCTCATCTTAATTGGAGAAAGGGGAAAAATTATTACTCTATACTTAATCGAGACTTACATCATGCCTTCCCAAAAAGTAAGCAGGGGTGTAAGCGATATCCGCCGCCAGAGTACAATCTACGTCCAAGTGATTCGACAGGATATCCCTGAGGATTTCCATTCGAGCCTGATCACTGTCTTTCAAGGCCGCGAATTTATTCTCATCGTCTTCGTACTCGTTTGGGTCTATCTCCAAGTGGACCTACGAAAATGTACCGTGAAGCACCCGTCAACGGTTGAGAATTTATTAAAAAACAAACGGACCTGTGAAAATATGGCCCGTCCCTCTCCGTCCTTAACCGTAGCGAGAAGCAGGCTGGGAGTCTGCCAAGTCTCCTCCGTCCCCAACACCTGCACCTGAATCGTGTAGTCCTTGCCGTTGTGTTGGATCTCCACCGCCGACGGCGTCCTGGGTGCTATAGGACTCGATCCGTTGCCGCTACTACTTAAAAAACGGTTTAGGGAAAAGCGACGACGCGATGCGAGCCTTACCTCTGGTTGGAATGATCCGAGTCCTTCGAGAACTGCTTCTTGGCAGGCGAGGCCTGGTAGCAGAAGATGTGGTGCATCATCCTCACCTGCCGCCACTTGCCGTAGGTGAACCGTACCAATTCGTGCTCTCGTACCTAGAAAATGGTGATATTTATCGCGGTTTGTGTACGGTACGGTGAACTTGCCTCGGCGGTGGTAAAGGTGTGTAAGACGCTGTAGAGTAAATCGCTGCAGAGGCAGAGCAACTGGCCGCCGCTCAATAAATACTGGAGCAAGTGGAACGTTAGACTCGGCGGTACCGTACCGCAAACTACCACCAGTACGGTCGAGCCGTTCCACACTGTTTGGTTCGGCGTCATCGGCAAATCATAAATTGTATATCTACAAACAAAAGTCATAATTTCATGATTTGTACTCTCAAAAGTTTGAAACATAAAAAAATCCACTAAAAAATATAAAAAAATAATTGGTATGCGAAAGGAAACCAATTTATAGTGTAAAATAATTTTAAAAAAATGAAACAATAGTAGTTACAATTTTTTTAAAGCACTGTGTTTAGTTTGTGTATCTTAAGTGTCAATGGTCTCAGACATTGACCTATAGTCCAATCAAATTACTTTTTCAGATGCCAAAAAATATTTCGGTAATTGAAAATATGTAAAATTTAGGAAAAATTTCGTAGAATTCAGTGAACTACTTTACCCCACCTGAATTTTTTGGCTTCATTTTCAAAATGGCGTCCAAAGTTTACAAAAGACAATTTTTTTCATTTATTAAAAAAATTGAGCATTTTAGAAATAAAATTTTCAAACAAAAGTTGTAGGAATATTTTATACAGATCGAATAAGTCCAAACCGGTTTAGTTCGATAAATAAATTAATTAGTTATTGCAAAAAAAAACGTTAAAAATCACAAATATGAAACTTGGTGAAAGGATAGCTCTTGGTGAGCAAAATAAAATGATTATTTCAAAATTGAAAAATATTTTATAGTTTTTGCAAAAATCGAGTTTTTCGAAAAAAAAGCGTTTTTGTAAAATCCCCATAATTCATAGACCGCCACATCTTTAGGAACAGGATTAGGCTTAAAATTTTCGTTAATAATTACACTATTATGTGGAAATATTACGCGAGCCTCAAATCGATTTCAAACATGAAAAAAACGATGGAAAATTCATTTGTTTTTTTCAGAGCCATTAACTTTTTGATTTCAATTCGTATCAAAATGTCGATACTGCGATTCGAAAGTTGACTTTTTTCACGAATTTAAAAAAAAAGTTTGCCTTACAACCAACAGGGGTCGAGAAATTTTTTTTTCCAAAAATCACCAAGTCCTAATTTATTAATATTAAGGGCTGAAATTTACACTTGTTATAGTTGAATGCTTGTACTTCAATATAAAAAATAGTCTGCAACGATTGGTCCATTGTCTTTTATTAAACTTAATTTTTATGGGCTCCGTACGTATATTGCTTGCTAGGCTTGGCACATTGATGCGCGTGGTGGTGGGAGAAGACTGTAATACTACTATTGTATATGTCGATCATACATAACGAACTACGTGTATTTTTTCTTTTCATGTACATTTATAAAGCTTTTTTATCAGTTACGAATTTGTATTTACACAATAGCACGTATCTTATTGAGATAATAAAATAATAAAAATAATAATGTCGGTCAGTTGAAGAAATAAAAAGGCGGAAAGTAGAAAAATTCTTGATTTATTAAACATGTGATTGCAAAACTAATGCGTGTAGCTGCCAAAAACATGGATTAAAATGTTCTAATTTACGTTTGAAGTGCAAAGATGCTAATATGCTCTAATATCGAAGAAAAAACTATTGTTGTTGATGATATCGAGGAAGATATGGACGAGCCATGTTTATTAGAAAATGAAATCGAATCAGACGAAGAAAACTTTGACGATGACAATGGTGATAAGCAAGAAATAGTAGCAAAGAATGGAGGCCAAGAAAAGTTCAAAAATAAATTAATATAATTTACATACAGTCAAAAAAATAACTGAATGAAACTGATGAAAATGAAGTTTAATGAAAGAAAATGGGAACAAATCGTTGCGGACAATTTTTTTATATTGAAGTACAAGTATTCTACTCAAACATGTGTAAATTTCAGCCCATAATATTAATAAATGAGGTCGTGGCGATTTTTTTTAAATTCGTGAAAAAATGTCAACTTTCGAATGGCGGTATCGACATTTTGATACCAATTGAAATCAAAACGTAAATCAAAGTTTTATGACCCCGAAAAAAAAAAACGATTTTCGATTGTCTTTTGCGATATTTGAAATCGATCTGAAGCTCGCGCAATATTTGCACATAATAGTGTGATTATTAAAGAAAATTTTAAACCCAACCTCGTTCCTAAAGATGTGGCGGCCCAAGAATTATGGGGATTTTACAAAAACGCTTTTTTTTCGAAAAACTCGATTTTCGCAAAAACTATAAAATATTTTTAAATTCTGAAAAAATCATTTTATTTTGTTCACCGAGAACTATCCTTTCACCAAGTTTCATAAAAAAATTTTATTTTTGAGAGATTTGAAAAAATTGCGTTTAGCGGTTTTTTTGCAATAATTAATTTAATTATTTATCGATCCAAACTGGTTTGGGCTTATTCCAACAACTTTTGTTTGAAACATTTTTTTCTAAAATGTTCAATTTTTTTAATAAATGAAAAGAACTGGTTTTTGCGAACTTTGGACGCCATTTTGAAAATGAAGCCCAAAAATTCAGGTGGAGTAAAGTAGTTCATTGAATTTTACAGAATTTTTCCTAATTTTCACATATTTTCAATTACTAAACTATTTTTTGGCAAAAAAATTAGGTATTTTCGACAATTTGATTGGACTACTGGTTTAGGTCAACTGCATATCAATCCACCTGATGTGATATGACAACAGAGCCACCCACAGCCAACTTTAATTCTGCAAAACAGGAATAGCCAAATATAGCACCAGTTTATTTGTAAAAATTATTAAATAAAGAGATTCTGACTATTAAAATGGCTCTATAGGCAAGCAGCAATACGTTTTTAGAGATTTTATTACACAGTCTGTCTAAATATGAATTAATGCAGAAATAACAGACTTTCCCGCATTTTCAGGCAGATTTTCTATAAAAGGGACTTAGTTTGAAATTCAAATTACTTTTTGGTGTAAAAGTGACCAAAATTTTTTGATATCTTACACGAAAACGACCCTACTTTGATTAACTCGAAAAAAAAAATCTAAATATGATTTTTTTGCTATTTCTTTTGCGACAAAGTGACTTTAACGGGTGTTTTTCTTAAACAAAATGGCAAATAGACCTAGGAGACCTTACTGGAAACCCTGAAATATAAAAAAAATAAAGTATCACTTACTTCTCTTTATTCAGCATGGTGGACAGCACGCCTTTAACGTTTTCTTTCGCCACGACGCTGTCGGCATACACGAGAATGTTCGGTGGCTTCACGCCCTTGTACTTCGTGAACAACGAACCGTTGTGTGCGGCGTGGTGTCCGTTAGCATCCCCATTCCTCAATTTCTCCTTAGTTTTCCCCGCGGGATCTTTCGTTTCGCTCTTTTCTTTCACGTCACCATCTTCGCAAACCGCGACGCTTTTCACTAATTTCTTCTCCGAACTGGTGGTTCTCTTCGTGATACCCTTGTCTTTCGTCCGTTGCTCGGGAGGTTTCTCGGTGCTTTTCCCTGCGACTTCCAAGTCGGCCTTGGACCTGGCCCGTTCGAGTTTGGTGGGATCTCGGTCCTTCTTGTGCGTTTTTCCAGAAGCTTTCATCTTTTTCGCTTCTACGTGCTCTTTCGTAGGCTTCGGACCGTCTTTGCTGTCTTTCTTCACTTCCTCGTCCTTTTTACGGTGCTTCTCTTTCTCGTCCTTCTTAGTTTCCTTCTCTGTTTTACCAATCTTGCCGTCCTTGTGCTTCTGTTCGGGAGATTTCTCGATTTTGGAAGCATCGCTCTTGGCAGCGATCTTCTCCCGCTTGTGGTCGCCGGACTTGTGACGTCTAAAATCGCTCGAACCTACTTCCAACGTGTTTTTGTCTTCCGACTTCTTGTTGTCCTTTTTTATGGGCTTGACCTCGCTGACGGGGACCTTTTTTACGTCCTCGGACTTGGCAGCGCCATTTTCAATCATAATCTTCGGGCTACAAAAGGAATTAAACTTAAAAAATTCTCTTTTCCAGTCAAAATACTTACTTCGTAGAGTCCCTGAGCTTGGCGTAGATTTCCTTGAGGCTTTCCACGAACTTCTTCCAGTGGACGGGGGCGTAAGAGTATTTCAAAATGTTATCCTTGGGAAACTTTCGCTCGTACCTTATCTTAGCCGCCACGCCTTCGATATCCACCGCTAAAACAAAAGATAAATCAATTCGCAAGGCCTCGAAAGCTTAAATTACAAACGTACTTTCTATTTTTAACAATTTCAGCTCGTGGTTAATATCGACGGGACTCTGAGAGTAGCAGTGTACTAATTTCGTCAGCTTGTCGATGTCGGTTTTCAGTATAGCCTCGAAGTAGTCGGTAACCTTCCACGCTACCAGCTCCCCGAAGTTCTCCACCTAAATCGACAAATTACACGTTAAATTGACGTTTTTGTATGTCACGACTCGTACCTGTAAAGAGGCTGCGGAGTGTCTCATATAACTCTCCAACATCGCTTGCACCAATACGTATACGTGTGGAGACCCGATCCTGTCTCTGGTAGCAGTGAAATATATGGGGAAGTACCGATAATCCTTTGGGAAACACGCCCAATGCGACAAGTTGACTTTTTGCTGCAAAAAAACAAGTTGTGGAAGAATACAAAAAAATTATAATAAACCGCCCCTTCCTGCACTAATAAAAATGTTTTAGCCATTCTGGTTATATAGTACAGTCATTGGAGCTTTTCATCTACGAATTCTTTGAAACTGAACCGATCGACATGAAATTTGGCAGATAGTTAGAGAAAAGGTCAATGAACATTAGTGACATAGCGCCGATTGACGCTTCTACCCTGCTGGGGGTTGACACCCCTTCTCGGGGGTGGATATTTTTTTTCAAAAATAACGCCGGAAATTGATAATCAAATTTTGAGCAAAAAATTTTCAAATAATTTTTTCGAGAAATCAATAGTTCTTTAGTTATTCACGATTGAAAACTTGGAATTTTGAGTGAAAAAAAACACTTTTTCAAAGTATTTTTCGCGAATAACTCAAAAACTACGCATTTTATTAAAGAAAAGTGTAATGAACAAAAATGTAGCTTATAAATAAACAAAGAAAATCGTTTTTTAAAAAGTGTTGTACGTCCTATACAAAGCGAAATATGGTTAGTGGAAGGGGACTTGTTTTGGGAGGAATACTTGAATCGATGTATTCAACGTCAAATAACGGAAAAAGGATTCATTTTACGTGTATAACGCTACATGAGTTTTTTGTAGTACTCAAAAAGACCTTCAAAATGAGCACTAATAAAAGTTAATTAGAGCAAAATTGAAGGAGTTATCGTCAAAAACAGATGGGTTGATCATATTTTTTTAAGGAAAAATGAGCAGTAAACGCTGTACCATTTCCATTGGAATTAAAATTAATCGTAGACCCTTTACAATTAGATTTGTTTTAGTGTTTTTCATATGATCCTGAAGTTTTTGTAGGATACTATAGCTTCAAAATTAACCGAGTTATGGTAAAAAAACCAATGACATTTTTTCGGAGCAAAATAGGCTTTCTCATTTTTATATAACAAATAAAATAAATAAAAAAATTTAGTGTGATTATTTACATGCAGCGTAGTAATTTTTTTTATGATTGATTATATTTAAAAATCGATTATAATATAAATATTTTACATTAATATTGGTAAAAGGGTAGTTTATAAGATTCGAAAACGGCAAAAGTAAAATATTCTTTCATAAACAATATAAGGGAATTTTTATTTTAAATTATTGCACAATTATAGCATTCCAAGATTTAAAACGTAATTTTTTATCATTTTTTAGCACAGGGGTGATTTATAAGGGTTGGAAAGTGTTACGAGATACAAATTCTTTCATAAGCAATGAGGGAATTTTTATTTTAAATAATTGCACCGTTAAAGCATTCCAAGCTTTTAAAAAGTATTTTTTTATCATTTTTGTCAATGCAGGGGTGGTTTTTAGGGATTGAATGGGAAAAATTCTTTTATTGACTATAATTTAACTCTTATTTTAAATAATTGCATGATTTAACCATTCCAAATCTTTAAAAAGTAATTTTTTATCATTATTTTTTTTGCATAGAGGTAGTTTTTAAGGGTTAAATAAAGGGTCGAAAAGATCAAATATATCATAAAACATGTTCGAGAACATGGAACATTATTTAATCTTTGTGCTTGAACAAGAATTTTATCAATAAAATGCTTAAAACTTAATTTTTTCAATTTTTTTCACCTAGGGGTAGTTTTTACCCCTAAAAAACAAAAAGCGTCAATCGGGCTTAGGTCACTTTTGAACTTGAGCCTAAGATGAGCCTTATTATAAATTTTCATGCAAATCGATGCAGTTTCAAAGAATTAAAAATCATTGACTCCACCCATGCTTGACACCATGACAGATAAGAATATTTTTAATTAATTATAACATATAAAACGATTAAAACAAAAAAAAAGCATTACAATTTATCAACGTAATGGCTATTTCTTATCACTACTAAAAAAAATATAAATATTATTGACAGCCTAATTGTCCAGAAGCTATCGTTCAACCTATCTTATACGAGTGTTCGAAAACAGCAAACAATATCTCGTTAAAGAAGTTACTGACCTCGAGATATCTTTAATAAATAGAAGATTTCCTAACACCCAACGGAATATTAAAAAAACTTTCCGCCGCCAAGATTTCCAGACCTAAATCCGTCAGCAACTTACCCTGGGCACCACGGTGCACCCTATCCTGTCGTCCCGTCTGAAGAGCAAGTTCTCGAAACTCCTAACCTTCCTGGTGTCGTAAACGACGCTCTCGTCGCACACCAAGAGGGCATTCTGGGAGCTGAGCGTCCCGCTGAGCTTATTCTTCAGAGACCCCAAGCGCCACCACTGTAAAACCGTTGCGTACATGTACAGTATCGTAAAGATCATGTTAGTGTCTGATCGTGGCTGCTTGATCTAGAGGCCCATGTTTGCCGGTCTGAAAACAAAACACTAGCATTAGCTGGTTTGGCAGTTGTTCTTGTACATGCAAGAGTTGATTGTGAAGTGAAATTAGTTCCAAAATACACCCAAGAGGTTTAATTTTAACCTACTTCTTATCCTGATAAATTAATTTTCTGATCTGCATTGTAATGTATCATTCATTTCGCATAGTGTTCAGATAGCACCAGTTTCTATCCTTGCTTATCATGTATAAAAAGTGAGACGACCAGTGTTGCATAGTTTCATTTCCCGATTTGTCAGTTTCCAGCTTAGGCGTTGCTTTCGTGTCATATGCGTGCAAGTGAAACATTTCAATAAGCGTTGTTAAAAACAGAATCGACATAGCTGCTTATCCGTCGGTCTAGATATCGAGGGCGAGTCCTTGCCTACTATTTTGGAACTGAACTATAGTTGTGATTAAAATTATATCAGTTATATTCTGGAAAACTTTTTTACTGACGTAAATCGGTTCTCTCGTTAGGAAAACAAATAGCTTTCCAATAGGTTATTTGTCCCCTATCAATATTATTGTCTTTGATTATCGTATCTTGTGTAAATAATTATTTTTAATTCGACAAACATCCACTGATCTACATTGCTGACCCGTTTTATTACAATCTGAAAAATTGTATCCGGGCATCGAAATTGACCCGTCAGTACGTCCGACCTTGTAGAATCCATATCTTACGAGGTTCTCGCGAAAAATGTACAAAATGCGTTTTTCGTCTATCGCGAGCGGGCACATTTTTGTTACAGAACTCCACGATTTCACTCGAAGCATATCCGCATTTCGTGCTAAAATTATCTTACACACTTTTTTGGACTATTAAATTTGGTCGTTTACGACTATTCTCATTATCAAATTACCTACTAACAAGATTCCATTTAAAACAGTTACTGGAACAACTCGCGCCATTATTCTATGGCTAGAAATTGGCCTCAATGATTTGGGATCGAGGGGGATTATCCCTCTTTATCCTGCCTCATCTCGTGTAGGCCTGGACAGCCTTCGTAGGTGGGCCCCATCCGTCGTCTACCCCGACCGCAAATGCGGCCGGTGTAGGCGCTTTGTGGGACCTCCTTTTGTCCTGGCTGGGCCCCGCCGGCTAGGGCCCTTTCTTCTGGCGCTCTTCTTGCTTCGCCGGCTCGTCTGTGTAAACCCCGGGGGTAGTGTCATGTTTATGTGTGGTATGGTTGGGTAGGGTAGTGCGGCTATGCAGCCTGGGATGCGCTTTGCTAAGG